TGAAATCCGTCTCAAAAATTTAGCTATAAAAAGTGAAAGAAAGAAGAAGAGAAGACAACTACAAGAGAAAGAACACTCTCAAGAAAGCCAAGCCACCAAAATCCTCTCCTTCATCACCCACCATCCTCCAAACATCTTGTAATATACCTTGTAAAATATTTCCTTATGTATGCCTTAGCAGTTTCTACCTCGAGTTTGTAAAATAAATAAATCATTATGCTTGTGTGTGCCAGATCTTAATTACCAAGTCCAGTAAACTTTTTGGGTTTCCCGAAAGGGAAATCTCTCTCCTGTAAACATGTAAGTTGCTCATTTTATCTAAATTATGTTTCTGGATATTACCCCTGTTTTACAGTTTTATGTTATTATGTATAGTTTATATTTATTATTCCTCAATTATTAGTAGGTATATATACATACATATAGTATGTATATATATATATATATATATACCACTCTTAGTATATGGTTATCTTTCCAATTTCTTAATAATTTTGATGGATTAACCTATAAATTCCTAGGAGAAACCGGTTAAGTCAAACCCAACATTAACGAAAAATGGGTATATATGTTTAACTGTGGCCAGGGTGGGGTTAATGAAAAAAGAGTTAAGAAAAGATTAATTCTTTAAAAAATTGGAAAGAAGAGATGAACAGAGTGGAATAAAATAAAATAAAAAGGGTAATTTCAGGGCATAATTTTGATAATACTGTAACGATATAGGTCTACAGAATAAGAGAGAGAGAGTACCGAGTAGGATGTTACAACATAAGAGTTTAACGTTTTTTACAGCACTAAATTTACCGTACCAGTAAAATTATTTTACTGAACCAGTAAATATTTCAAAAACAATATTACTGTTAATTCCTATTAATCGTAATAACTATACCCATCCAGAAGGATTTGCTAGAAGCCTTACCTCAAGTCTAGAAGAATTTAAATTAGACATAGATACCGGATTCTACTCTATAATAGACTTAGCTATACATTTTATATATTTACAACAAAATAATAGAATTTGTTCAGATATATATAGAAAACAACTATATCTTATATTTCGAATACTATCATATCATCAGTTTTACTATTTAAGATCATATTATATAAGAAGAAGTTTTTATTTTTTCTTTGATTTTTTGTACTAATTTAATGTCTTCTATGTTGAAATGTTTTTGTCCTGTAGAGCCTGTTTTAGCATATAGTGGTCCTGCTATTTTTCCTAAATCTTTTATAAAATTTCTTGCATAATTTACTATTCCTAAAAACTTTTGTAGTTCTTTAGTATTGTCTAATTTATCTGGCATTTCTAGAGCCTTTTTAGCTATATGGGGTTGTAATTTAATTTTTCCATCCCCTAAAACTACTCCTAGAAAATTGATATAATTTTTACATAGTTCCATTTTCTTTTTACTAATTATTATTCCATTATCTACAAATAATCTAAATACTGTCTGTAGATGTCCTAAATGCTCTTTAATATCCTTACTAAATACTAATATATCGTCTAGTATATGGTTATCTTTCCAATTTTTTAATAATTTTGATGGATTAACCTATAAATTCCTAGGAGAAACCGGTTAAGTCAAACCCAACATTAACAAAAAATGGGTATATATGTTTAACCGTGGCCAGGGTGGGGTTAATGAAAAAAGAGTTAAGAAAAGATTAATTCTTTAAAAAATTGGAAAGAAGAGATGAACAGAGTGGAATAAAAAAAAAAGAGTATAGAAGGGGTAATTTCAGGGCATAATTTTGATAATACTGTAACGATATAGGTCTACAGAATAAGAGAGAGAGAGTACCAAGTAGGATGTTACAACATAAGAGTTTAACGTTTTTTTACAGCACTAAATTTACCGTACCAGTAAAATTATTTTACTGAACCAGTAAATATTTCAAAAATAATATTACTGTTAATGCCTATTAATCATAGTAACTATACCCATCCAGAAGGATTTGCTAGAAGCCTTACCTCAAGTCTAGAAGAATTTAAATTAGACATATATACCGGATTCTACTCTATAATAGACTTAGCTATACATTTTATATATTTACAATAAAATAATAGAATTTGTTCAGATATATATAGAAAACAACTATATCTTATATTTCGAATACTATCATATCATCAGTTTTACTATTTAAGATCATATTATATAAGAAGAAGATTATAACTTGAAGGATCAGACTTTATCAATTTTTACTTTGTTAGTTTATTCTAGATTATTATTATAGCTATTTATTAATTTGATTTATTTTGCTATTTATTAATTTGATTTATTTTGGTTCCGTTAGCTATACATTTTATATATTTACAACAAAATAATAGAATTTGTTCAGATATATATAGAAAACAACTATATCTTATATTTCGAATACTATCATATCATCAGTTTTACTATTTAAGATCATATTATATAAGAAGAAGATTATAACTTGAAGGACCAGACTTTATCAATTTTTACTTTGTTAGTTTATTCTAAATTATTATTATAGCTATTTATTAATTTGATACCAAAATAAATCAAATTAATAAATAGCTATAATAATAATCTAGAATAAACTTACAGCTAGCCAAGGCCCTATTTAATATATTTGCCGTACTTTTACGGGAGAAAACAAGAATATCTTACGATTATTCTCCCAAAGTTAATCTCTTTGGTTTTACTCTAGTTTCTAAGTCATCTCATCAATCGTTAAAAAACAATATGGACGCTTTTGTCCAAATATCATAGAACTTAACCATGAAAAAAAACTGGATAATTGTTAGCAGTAAAAAGGCCTATGCACCCGCGCACTTTTGAGCTTTTGAGTTATGAATTCTAAAAAAGGCATCTTATTGAGTTCTCAATAAATTATTAGTTAAGTAATTTTTTAACACAAATATATAAATCACTTGGTCAAAGTTCTTGGGTTCTGCGGAAACTGTAAGCAACGGTAGCTCCGCCTATGGCTTCTCCAAAGGCGATATTTCATGGTCGGGGGGTGTCAAGGATCTTGTAGCTTTATTAAAAAACTAGTATACGTACTCGCGCGATGCGCGGACAATGAGAGAGGTAATAGAAAAAGATGTATATGTAGCATTAGCCATGGGAAAGACCAAAGTTCTCTCTATTGTTGCATCAATTAAAAGCGTCGTTGCTTGTTATTTTTGCCTTTAAGAATACGTTTGGAATATTTATGCATAATCTTTTCTTCCATATTCTTGAGAATAATATATTGAATAGATGCTCGAGATCCTATGTCGTCGTCTAATATAATAACACTTTCCTTTGTAGGTTCAACTATATAATTTTAGAATTTGAAGTTCTCACATAGAAACTTCTTTTTCGGAAAAAAAAAAATGCTAGATGCGATGAACTAAACTCAAATGTTTTATTCTAATAAATTATGAATGATATTAGTACAAAATAATTTTACGATATTTGGAACTCATTGATATGGAGAGATTTGTTCTTCATTTTGTAGCACCAACTATTATTAGTTCCTTCTTTAAGCACAAACTCGAGATCATATTGTTTCGAATATCATTACAAACCTGAAAGGGGTGTAAACTTCTTTTAGCCTACAAAAAAGTAAGATAGAACATAATGTTGGGAAGTCAATGCTTGTACCATATTAGCCGTTGAAAAAATATTATATATAAAAGACTAAGTATAACTGTACGTAATAAAAAACAAGTGTATATTAGGCTTGCTAAAATATTTACTTCCTTATCAACATCTGCTGCCAAACAGAAGCTCTTTCTATTGGCGGATAAGATAAATAGAATTTTACAGAAGTACATATCTTAATTTGTTCAATTTCGAATGTTTAGGGATTTATGTTCGTACTTTTTCCCTACAATCCATAATTACCAGTTCTTTTTCTGCACAACGATGATGTTGTCTTGAATTCTTTGCTCGCTTTAGTGCTAGTCGATTATCTCTCCCTAGAAATGCAAGTCTAAACTTTTTCACCACGAGCAACTCTTTTGTCCTTCAAACTGATGAAGCTAATGTTCTAGGTACAAATACAGATACTGCGCCAGTCCGACTTGTCGTGAACCTGTCCGAATAGTCCTGCACATGTCCGTTTTGTCATGTGCTTGTCTGATTTGTCCTGCACCTGTCCGACTTTGTCTTTGAATTTGGCTCAAAATTATCCGCTTCACGATATAAAGCGAACACGTGTAAAAGGTGACATACCCTCTCTTAATAAACATAAAATACAGAGGGTAAGTTGCAAACCTACCATTAAAGATTCATGTGTTGTAAAACAGTTTGTTAAATGTAGTACTTTTGGCTAAAAAAAATTTGTAGTTCAAGAAACCAATTTAGAAATATGTATTTAATGTATTTCAAACTCATTTATACACAGACAATTATTCATGGATTTTTAGCATGTATTGCGCCTGTCAAAATTGCCCTGTGCATGTCCGACTTGTCATGTGCCTGTCCGACTTGTCCTGCACCTTTTTGATTTTGTCTTTGATATTAGCTCAAAAATGTCCATATGAAGCCAGCACATATAGAAGGTGACATACCCTCTCCCAATAAACATAAGGTAGGAAGTTGCAAACTAAAATGAAAGAATATTCAAGTGTTATATCTCATTTTGGTAAATGTAGTATTATATAGGCTTAAAAAGTTTATACTTCAAACGACTAAAAGGAGAAAAATGAGTCAAAGATCTTGTTACTTGGATCTTTTTGAACTTCTTGGGCCTCAACCCGTTTCTTACTATCCTCTAAGGGGCTGTACAAATTAGAACTGCAATACACCTATGGGTAAATTTGTGTGGGGGAGAATTAAAAGAGAAGTTATAGATTAACATTTAAAACTTGGCAGAATGGTGCGGAGACTGAAAAAAAGAATCTTTAGAATATAATAAGCTGGGAATTAATTATAGTTTAAAGTTGAACGAATATCAAAATTCAAAGGCACACGCCAATACGCCATATTATTGTATTCAGTGCGCATATCTTGTCCCTAGTAGGCTTCAACCATTATAAATACAGTGTGGAGCTGTTTTTGCCTTGTAAAAGGAAAATTGTTAAGAGAAATTAGAGACACCCAAAAATATGATAGGACCAAGTCGTCCATTGTTCGTTCTATTTGGGTCATCAATTGTGCAGTTAAGCTACGATTATCATGGCTGGGGCGCAACCCTCACTAGCCTCTACTCTCGCAAGGTATGTCTTCCTTTGCCCTTTGAGTTTATAATTCTTATCATATACATCAGATTAGTGTGATTTGCTACTAATCAGTCGTCTAGTAAATATATCTTTAAAAAAAATTCGATTCCACAATAAGAATCTCATTTAATTCTAAGCGAGTCCTTTTCTATACAAAAGTTGAAAGTAATATTTTCAGCTTTAAACTAATCGTTTTATTCTATAATTGGAACAGGCTGATATTTCATTGCGTGGATATTCTGGTTGGAACTCAAGGATGGCTCTTCAAGTTTTGGACAAAGTTTTCCCGAAGGTATACCTATCAATACAGGCTGCTCCAGTCCAGCCTAACCCAGCCAACGTGAGCCTTGGTATTTGATCGTTGGCCGCGTCAGGGGCTTGGTATTTGATGGGTTGGGCCGGGTTGGATCACAATTTTGTTGGCCCTTAAATGCTTAGCCCCAACCCAGCCTTATGTCGGTAGCGGGCCCTAGCCGGTCAAAAGTTTTTTAAAATATTTTTTGTATTTAATAAAATTTAAGTTCTAATATGTAAATGCAAAAAAAAAAAAAAAAATTACAAGTCAAAAACATTTTGTTGGGCAAAAAAGTTATGCAAAACTTAATAACTTTTCATATTGTTTCAATAGATTGCAATAAAATACAAAAAATACAAAAAATATAGGACAATATATATTTCATTCATTAAATGTAAACACTATGAACAAACTATTCAAACAACATTCATGGGACTTATGGTATATATAACTAACACCAACACCTTATCTTCATCAAGCACATTTGAATTTGCTTGTGATAACAAAATTAAGAGATGAAAAAAGAACACTTATACGAGAACGAAATAGAGGAAACAACGCTACTTCTTTTTAGGGTTTAGAAAATTTAGAATTTTATTATTTACTTATTTCTTGATCTTATTTAACTTAACTTTATGTTTAAAATTTAAATTTTATGACTTTGATCTTTTAATATGATAGACTTAATAGACTTTGAGTTTGGGCTACAATTCTGGTTACTTTTAGATTTATTTTGTATATTTTTAATTAAATATTTTTTTTATTAAACCCATGAGTCCGCCCAGTCCAGCCTCGATCAAGTCTCACGAGCTGTGGGTTTATTCGAGCGGGCTAAAAAAATTGATAATTAGTTGGGCTCTAAATATCTTAGTCCAGCCTTACTAAATTACGGGCTAGGCTGGACCAGCCCAGCAGGCCTAACCATGTTGACAGCTTTACCCAAAGGTACCTAAAGCTTTGCCGAGTATTGTATACATGTTTAATAATCAATGACTTGTGTGCTTCCTTAATATGCTACCACTTGCTAGAATAAAAATTCTTTCTCCAAAACATTAAAACAATTTTCTTAGATGATGGACTTTTCTTTTGCAAGAAAATGATAGGGATCTTTACACAAATAGATTCATTATTACCTTTTTTAGTCGGTATACATAAAATATATATTTGTTATACATGCTTATACATATGATTATCATATATTATACATCCCGGGCTATTTTTAATTTAAGCGGTTCAATTAGCGAAAATTCAAGTTAATTCTTCAAAACACATATAAACCAACTAAAATGTTGTGAATTTTATCCATGCATTAGGCAGAATTAAGGAAAAAGTTAAAATATTCGAAAATTACTGGCCTACTGTGAGCACATAAGGCCCATTAAAGGAGAAAGAGCTCCTTATCAAGGGTTCAATTCCCAAGGCTCGAGTCAAGACCTTTAGCGAAGTTTGGAGAGATTTCATTCATCCTACCACACCCCTTTGTGGTTGCTAAAATACCTGTTTCCTGTAGAGTTAAACCCAAGAGTTCAGACCTAATTGGCTAGTCGATGTTCCACAATTTATGATGATGTTTGTATTTCTCTCCCTCAAAGAAAAATTTATTGATCTAGAGTTGTAATCTATTTTTTTGTTTAATTCCAATACAGGATGCGGATATTAAACCTTCTCTTGTCATACTTTATTTTGGTGGAAATGATTCAGTAGATCCTGAATTTCCTGGCAGCGCTCATGTCCCTCTTCAAGAATATATTGAAAACATGAGGAGGATTGCACTTCATATCACGGTAAATATTTTTTCGCATTCAGTGTTTAAATCAAACCAAGTAAACATTTTAAGTTTTTAACCATACCCAATTAAATATGTGTATGAAAAACTTGCTGTTGTATATATACATTGAATGCGGGTAATTAAGTTTAACCCAGTTTATCATTATTTGAAACATTTTCCTAGCTATTACTCTTACACTTTATTTGGTATTTCTAACATAAATGTTGTCACGTATATTACTTACAGAGCCTTTCAGAAAAAACTCGTCTGATTATGCTAAGCGCTCCTCCGGTGAACGAGGAACAAATTGTTCAATTTTATGGGTAATTTAACCCTGATACTGGAAATGACTTCTTGATTTATTTTTAAGTAATTTAAATGATGTTTAAAAGTATGTATTCATCCTATTTCTGACCATTACAACCTGAAATTACCAGTGATAGTCGAGGTAGAAATAATGAGACGGGCCGCATATACTCAGAAGCTGGTATAAAATTAGGCCAAGAATTAGGCGTGAAGGTTATAGATTTTTGGTCTGCACTTCAGGAACGCCCTGATTGGTTGACTACAGTCTTCTTGTAAGTTGAAATCTCTACTACTTTTACTCTTTACTTTTGTGTTAATATATGGATCGGAGTAATAGTAAATAATGTTGTTTCACGTTGAATCAAGGAAATTAAGTCATATACATTGAGCGCGCGTACGTAAATTTTTTCTACATTACTAGTAAATTTTAACCGGTTAATTATCATTTTTTATAAGAAGTTAGATTTTTAATTTTGTGTTTGTGTAGGGATGGGATGCATTTGACAAAAGAAGGAAGTGACATTTTGGTAAAGAAAATATCGAGGGTACTTAGAGAGGTAGAGTGGGAGCCAAGCCTACATTGGACAAAAATGGCTGATGAATTTTCTGATATTATCATACCACTTGCTTCTGGGATGAACCTTGACAATTGGCAGAATGAGTATATTGAATAAAACTCTATAAATCTTTTAGTTTTAGGTGCATATATTAACGTATGCAAGAATAAGACATGTACTCTTCATTTACCGTTTTCTTGTTTGATCGTTTAAACTCTTCTGCAAAAGAATAAATGTAATCCCTAGGAAGGTTTTGCCTTTTCCTTGAAGGGTTTGCTTTCTTGTCGAATGCTTCTGTCTTCTGTGCGTGCTGTGTGTTATAGAAAGTTAATTAATATATATTGCAAAGAACATATGAGTGTCAAATGGCGCGAGTTGGGCCGATTTTGGGCGGTTCAAAACGGGATTAAGTTAATAATTGGGAGGGTCAAATGATCGGTCCAAAAATTACTTTGGCTAAGATGAGTTGGGTCAAGACGGGCTAAAAGTTGGGTTATAGTCCAATTTGCCCAACTCTTATCCATCTTTAGTTAATATATATTGTTTTCTTATGAATTGTATAATTACTAGATAAGACTTTTTTTTTCTTTTGTTATAGCCATATATAACATATCAAACAAAAAAATAAATTTATTTCTAAGATATTTTGGCAAACATACTCATGGACCAATTTGGGCTAAAAAGTGACCCAACTTTAAATGGGTTGAGATGCGTTGGGTCAATATAAGTTGAGTTCAATAAATTGGCGACTTAATAATCAGCACAACCTTGAGCGAGTTGGACGTGTCATTTGGGCTTGGGCCAAATTTAACAGTCCTAGACGAACACTATTCTGATTTTCACTTTGGAAACTAATGATTCATTTATGGAATTTTTACCTCATATAGCAAAGGTTAACACCTTATTTATTCTAAATAAATACCATTTAAAAAAATTATATTCTATAGATACCTTTTAAGGTTTATAGCAAAATTCCTAATTTTGGTTTACTCATAGCCCTAAGCCACTAAATACGCTAATCAGTTACACTTTTTTCTTTCTCTCTCTACTTTGATACATCCCATTCTCCCAAAGTTTCGTGGACCTCTTCCTCTAATATCAACTCTCTTTTTCTCCCAAAGTTTCGTGGACATGAATAAGGAGTCAACTCCAGTATGTTTCTTCTTCCGAATTTATTCTTCGACTGCTCAATTTCTTCTTCAGTGAATTGACTGCTGAATTTCAGCAGTCAGCGAATTTCTTCTTCAGCGAATTGACTGCTGAATTTCTTCTTCAGCGATCTTTCTCGTTTTCTTCTTCTTTCTCTCATCGCTGCTTATGGATCATGGTCGGAATCTGATGGGTCATCGAAAAATGTCGACTAAAATAGGTCGTCTGAAGTTTGGGGTTGAGCAATTTGAAGATTCAGTTACCTTTTTTTTAAGAGCATTTCAATGTATCTCGCTGTATTTCTATGTATTTCATTGTATCCACTATCTTTTTATTCATTGTAATTCAATGTATCTCGTTGTATTCCATGTATTTCATTGTATTCAGTATCTTTTTTTCTCATTGTATTTCAATGTATCCCTCTGTATTCTATCTATTTCATTGTATCCATTGTCTCGCTATATCCATGAATGTATTCATATATTTTTTTTAATTAATATAATTTATGTATTCAGATGTATTATATAATTTCTCTGAAAATTGCTATGTTTTTGGGGTATTTTGCGGTTGAGAATCTTTTTTATAACTAAAAAATATAAATTTTGTGTGTTATAATTGAGTTTGTCGAGTTATATTAGGAGTCTATTATGTTAATTGATTCACTTTCCGTTTTAAAAACAATGTAATCTCCTATTTCACGCCGTGAATACAGTCGAATACAGTCGAATACAATAATCTGTCCAGCTGTAATCCCATGTTTCACTCCATGAACACAGTCGAATACACTCGAATACAACAACTGATTAGCTGGACTTCCCTAATTCACGCCTATTTTGCTACTGTATTCATGAATACAATAGCTTAAATACATCAAATACATCTTATAACCACAGAAAAGGTATCTATAATACGTAATATAGCAAACGGTATCTATAGATGGCTAATTACTACTAAAAGATTGTGCTTTATGAAAATTTCTCTTCATTTATTACTCCCTCTGTTCCTGTTATGTGAACCTATTTCCTATTTGGTCTGTTCCAAAACGAATGATCCCTTTCTAAATTTAAAAATAATTTAGCTTAAACTTCCAATTCTACCCTTAATGAGAAGCTTTTGCAGCCATACAAATACTCTGAACCCCATTTTGACTTGTTTAGGACCACAAATTCCAAAAGTCTTCATTTTTCTTTAAACTCCGTGCTCAGTCAAACGGGTTCACATAAATTAAAGCGGAGGGAGTAGTAAATAAAATGCGACTTTGGTCTCCTGTGAGAAGCCCTTTAGTTTCTCCATTAAGCTTAAAGACGCCGTTCTATATAAGTACCAAGCTAAATTACTAGGTATCAACAGCAAGGTGTAACAAAATATAGACTCGGGTCTAATGTAATCTGTAGCAAATACTCCCTCCGGTCCAAAATAAGTGATTTTTTGGATGTTTTCACACAGATTAAGAAATTCACCTTTTAGCATTAATTAGCAATGGAATTGACCATATTAACTGTGAGCACGTGATTTTTGCCCTAAGCAAATTAATTCCGAAAGTTTCAAATAATTGATTTCTTTATTATTTTACAATTTTTTGTGAATTTTTGTTTGAGTTTTTGTGTTAATTGGTTGCATTTTTCATAAAAATACAGAAAATATGCACATACATTTAGGGATTTTAATTTCACCATTTTTAGTATTAGTTAGGTATTAATTAGATTTAGAATAAAGTTTAAAGGAAAAAATTGCAAAAATAGTCTTGTTGCATTCTTAATTGTTAATAGAGTTTTTATGTAATTTTAGGAAAGTTTAAATAGTTTAATTGAGTCTTTGTTTTGTTTTAGCATTTTTATAAAACCAGAAAAGAATAAATAATAATAAATAAATACTAAAAATACCAAAAAATAATAATAAATAAATAAATAAATAGAATACAAAAGTAAGAAAACAAAATCAAAAAGGAATTTGGGCTAAATTCACCTTAGACCAAATCAAAGCCCAAATTTGTACACCTGAAACCCGTCCAACCTTACCCGGTCCAATTCCCCAGCCCACGTGAAACGACGTCGTTTGGACTCGTTCAATCAGGACCGTCGAGGTTCCTTGATCGAACGGTCCTGAAGCTGGTTTTAATTAATACATATATGTCCGAAACACACCCCCCTACCCCCTCATTCATCTCTCTCGCACCCCACTCTCATATCTCACCGGAAATCGCCACACCATAGCCCCACCGTATTCCACCGTATCTCCACCCTCTTGCCACCGTCCGTCGCCGGCCGGAAATCGCCGCCGCCGGCGGCGAAGCTCCAAATCACTCAAAAATTACACCCCTCAATCCTCTCATCCTCCTCTTTCCAACCCCCATGATAGCATCCTCTAATTCCTAACCAAATTCCTCGGATTTTAAATCTAAGATTCGGCCAAGACCCTACTTTCTCCAAACTCAACCAAATTAACACCATATAATCCCCTCACCCTCCTCATTCCGAATCTCCAAACGATAACTTTCAAAACCTCTCCAAAACCTTCGAATTTTAAATTTAAAAATGAAACCCTAGTTTAATTTTTTAAGTTTCTCGACCCTAATATCCCTAACCAGGTGTCTCCCTGTTTAAGACACCTGATTAGGTATATTACGGGTCAAGAATCTTTAAAAAAGATTCACGTGTTCGGATCGAGTCAAGCTTAGCCGCCTCTAAACAGTAAGCTCTCTTTTTTCTTTTTCTGTTTTCTTTT